ACCCACCTAGAGCCGGAGTGTGTCTGAGGTGTCTGCCTCTCTATCTCTCTATCTCTCTCTGTCTCTCTCTCTCTCCTCTTTCCTCTCTCTTATCAGCTATTAATATCCATTAAAGGCAAAAAAAATTAATTAATAAATAATAATAAACAAAATAAAAATAATAGAAGAATAAACAATTGGTCTAAAACAGTCCCTTCCTGAGCACAATGACAAGCCTTATATGGCAATAATCGAGTAATTTTCATGACATTTGTGTGATGTGCTGGAGCACGACACAGCCGCAGCACGCCCTGACAGATCTGAAACACAAAGGAGAGACCTGAAGAATTATGACTGACGTTAGCAGGTGATACCTAGCAGAGAGTTAATGCATTGAAAGCTTGAGATACAAAAAAGTCATTATGGTATAATTTTCTATAATATAAAAATGTTAATCATTAGTATATATATATATATATATATATATATATATAACAGTTTAAAATAGAATGTGTTTTCTTTTGTGACTGAAAAGTAATTGTCTTATCTAAAAATATGAAAATAAATGAGAGGAAAGTCATATTTCTGTAGCTGTTAAGTAAAGGATAACAGTGTAACATGTTCAAATAAATGAGAAATATTATCATCTCAAAGAGTTTCTTAAACAGCCATCTTGAATTGAATCATCTTCTAGACTTGATTCTATTCATAATAATGGAAACATTACTTTATTACTCTTTTCAAAAAGAATATTATTACTTTACTTATTTCTCCCTGCCAATGAGTTTGTTAAAATCACAGTAATGGACACACAGACCTTGGCAGCATGCAGAATGTATTCATTCAAACTTAAACAGATTCTGTTTTCCATCATCAGAACAGGTCTACAGATATCTCTGCACTTGTTTTTGTTCCGTACAAATTTAAATTACATCACAGGTACAATTCAATGGGTTTATTGGGTTTTATTTTTGGGTAATTGTCATCATGTTAATTGGCTTGCTAGCTAATGTTAGCTGCCATGTGCTCACACATTGCCCGTATTTCTGCGAGTGATGTGCACACCCTTCATCGGTCAAAGAAGCATATATGGTAACTTCCACAGACTACAAGAATGGCGACCCCACGTTTCCAGACAATCAGCAAAGGTCAGGCTATGTCACAGGTAGCATTGCTATGACCTCTGACCAATCACGAGTGAGCCAGAGTGTCTCAAACTTCCTTGTTTATCCAGAAGTCAAGAAAAGAAAAGACGAGATGGTGAATTTTGTGCCTATTCTGATCTACGATCTCTCTATGGGGATTGCTGAGCTGCCCTTTGTTGATGACTTCTGGACAATGGACACCAGGGTCCCTCAAGTTGCAAACCTAATGTCATCTAAGAGGTTCAGGTTGATGAAGAGGCTTGTCCACTTCAATGACAACACTCAGATCCATGGCACTGTCGACTGATTCTTCAAGATCTGGTCAGCTTCCTGAATACTGCCTTCAGGAGTGAGCCACAAAGGCCCAAGCAGCCTGTGGATGAAGTCATGGTTGCCTACAAATGCAAGACAGCTGGTAACCTGAGGCCGTACATCAAGAACAAGCCAGACAAATGGGGATTAAAACTGTTTTCGCCAGAGCGTCTGAGGATGGCTTCATTCATGACATGGTGCTATATCAGGGGAAGACTACATTGGAGGTTCATGGTATCCCTCTTAAGCCTGAACAAGAATCATTGAGTGCCACCAGCCAGATAGTCTCCATCCTGGTCAGCACTATGTCCACCTCTACCACCACAGTCTTCTTTGCAGACAACTTATTCACCAGCCGGGAGTTGGTGCGGTACCTCAAGGACAAGAACTACAGGTATATAGGGACAGTCAGGGATAACAGTCCATCAAGGAGATGGAGAAGAAGGCTGTTCCTTGGGGTATCTGCAGCTACTTCACAAGTGATGATGGGATCCTGGTAATAAATAAACTTCCTTATTTACATTCTTATGTTACTGAGGTTGATGTTTACAAGTTGATATTTACTTGATTTCATTGATTTCACTTATTTGTTTACTTGCCAATGTTTACAAAAGGAGTTTAAAATTACACTCACTACTTTTTGGTTACATACAGTGACTTACTGAAGTTGTGTTTGCACTGTATCACGTGCAAGCCAACTGAAAGATATAGTATCAGTGGAGCATTCACTGTGGAGAATCTTGGACTGTCGGAGTACACATAACCTGTGAAGCAACTACAACAGCAGTATCACCATCTCAGAGGTATTCCATTACAGTTTATTGATCCTGCATGTCCTCTTGTCCTCATTGGTTCAGACTATGCCCATCTAATGACAGCTACAGAGCCGATACTCATGCACATACCAGGTTAGGATGGGCTCTCCAAGGGCCAGCTAGCTTAATCCCAACCCAGCACACTCTTTCCTTCACTCTTACCTGCTTGAAAGGTGAATTGCTTAGAAATGTGGAAAGATTGATTGACACTTTGCCCAATTTGAATGAAAGAACAGCCACAAGGTCAAAACAAGACAAACTAGCTCTTGATCTACTCCATTCTAAGACAGAGTAGAGATAGATGGTGTAATGCGCTATGCCATGCCACTGCTAAGAGTTCCTGACATTCCTGTTCTTCAAGCTCCAAAGTCAGCTGTCCTGCCCCGTCTCTGTGCTACAGAAAGACGTCTGTCCAAAGATCCTAAACTGTCTGATACATACCAGGAGGAACTGAATAAGCTTGTGCAGTCTGGCTACGTTCAAAAGATTCCCAGTGAGCAGGTTGACCAGCCACAGTAGACCTGGTATTTCCCTCATCACATTGTCAAACACAACAACAAATACAGGGTTGTATTTGACTGCTCCTTTGAATACATGGGACAAAACTTAAACAAATGTCTTCTGCCTGGCCCAACACTTGGTCCCTCTCTCCTTGGAGTTATACTCAGATTCCGCCAACATCCCATTGCCATCTGTGGAGATATCAAAGGTATGTTCCATCAGGTACGCCTTTTGAATGAGGACAAACCACTACTACGCTTTATATGGAGAGAGATGCAGTTAGACCAAGAGCCCAGTGTTTATGAATGGCAAGTCTTGCCATTTGGAACAACCTGTAGCCCATGCTGTGCCACCTATGCAGTTCACAAACATGTCCAAGATCACTGTGATGGAAATGAGGAGGTCCTCCAATCTGTTCAACGTTGTTTCTATGTTGATAACTGTCTCCAAATGTTCCCTTCCTCTCATGAAGCTAAAACCCTTATTGACAAAATGAGACCTCTGCTTGCTGATGGTGTGTTTGACCTCCGACAATGGGCTAGTAATGATCCAGCTGTGATATACCATCTCCCACCAAAGTCCAAAACAATTGAACTGTGGCTCTCTGGAGACCCTAAAGAGCTGACACTAGGCCTGCAATGGAACTGCTTCACAGACATGCTGAGTTACAAGAACCGATCAATCATCTACCATCAGCCTACAATGAGGAATATATACAAAGTTCTGGCAAGCCAATATGATCCTCTAGGGCTAGGCCTATAGCAGCATAACTAAGGGATGGTTCAGGAGTCACCTGAGCGAATGTGGAGAGGGTGTCTGCTGCCGAACCAACAATGGAAGCTGTTCCACAGGAGAGGGCTTGGTAACTTGAAGGCTCTGGCTCCTGTTCTACTTTTTGAGACTATAGGAACCACAAGTAGCCCTGCTACTAAATAATAAATATTGTATTTATTGTTTGTGGGGTTGGGTTTGGATGGACATTTTGATTTGTGCGTGACTGCCACAATATGTTTTAGATTTTTCTTTATCTCTTGGTATATGGAGGTTGAAATATGACCTATTTTTTTATTAAAATATAGAAAAAACACAATCCATCCTGCATCCTGTACGACAACTCAACAGCATCATGAAATCAAACCTCTTAAATTACCATAAAGTTGAATCAACACTTCTCTAAAAAGCAAAAACAGAATACACGATTGCATGAATCCTTTATTAAATTAGTATTGCCAAAACTGTTGGATTTCAACTGACATCAGAAGGAAGAGATTCAGAAAATGTGGAAACCTTCCTCTACAGGTTTGTTTGTGTGTGTGTGTGTGTGGTGTGTGGTGTGTACCAAGAGGTGAGTCGATCCCTTTTCTGGTAGTCAGGTTACAAAACATCTGAAGACTGCTGTTGTGCCAGAGAAGAAGGAGGTTGGGGGGGGGGTTTGAAGAAGAAGTGGTTTGTGGCAGGAGGAGAGGGGCTGAAGAGGTTCATAGAACCACTCCTCTGCTGCTGGGGTGATTTTAACGCTGCCATTGCTGTGGTTTCTGGCTCTTTTCTTCTTGTCCTCCCACCTATACACCACAGTGCATGTATGTGAACATGAAGTGGTGTAAGGGACAACAAAGGAAGTCCACAGATTGTACATTACCCAACATTAACAATAAGATAAGAGAGCTGAGAGACTTTCATAACAACCTGCTGCACTCTAATCTCTTTTAAAAAAAAGGATTATTGTTCTTGTTTTTATATTCTTTCAAGACCACTGATGCTTGTAATTTCAAAAGAATCCAGTGCACTTCAGATAAAACAGCTCTCTCTTCCTCTCTCTATCTTTCTGTCCCCCTCGTAATCGCTTCTCCCTGCTGCACTTCACATCATCAAAGCCGTGTGTGTGAGTGTGCGCACTCCGTGCATCATTAGAAGACAAAAGGCAGAAAGCCTTGGCAGGAGAGTAAAAAGGCTTCCACAGTGAAACCATACGATAGCAGCTGCAGAGGACGATTCCTGCCACATGAGGGCGTCAATCAGCCACTGAGCTCGGAAGTAAAAGGACAAAGGCACCAAACAGATTAAATTCTCAGGTTATAGAAATGTAACACAGATAAAATATACATGGGTTGTCATTTAAAAACAAGCTGTGCAGAGCTTTTATATTTCAAGATTTACAACATGAAACATGGAACTACAAGACTTTTAAGAAAATATAAAAGATAATAATTCTGTTTGACATTATGGCCCAAACGACAAGCAACAGCCCAGACAGAACATCTACATAACAGCACCGGTGAAATTTGATTTGACTTCTTTTCTCCACATAAAACAACAATTTTAAACATCTCGATGTCAGTGGTATAATTTGCCGATCCCAGCCCCTTCAGTCAGTCCCAGAGAGTGCACACAAACACTCAGACGCTGATCCAGAACCAGCAGTTTGTGATTGTCTTCATCTGTGCCGTTACATAGCATAAAGAGAGGCTGAGGTGTCGATTCAGGCTGCAGCTTCAAATCTCTGGCTAAACAGCACCTCCACCACTTTCGGGTCGGCCAGGGACGAAAGGTCGCCCAGGTCCTTCTCGTTGCGGGCGATCTGCCGGAGGATTCGCCTCATGATCTTCCCTGAATGGGTCAGAGGAGACAGATGTTACTGAGTAGGCGAGTAGAGGAGGAGGATGTTGGTTTACAGGAAGCGTTGAACTGTTACCTGAGCGAGTTTTCGGGAGCGCTGGAGCATTTTGAATGAAGTCTGGCGTGGCGATTGGTCCAATTTTCTCTCTCACTGTGAAAAGGATACAGAGAAGAAATCTGAATAAAGCTTGTTTGGACTGAAATGAAAAGATAACGTCTTTTAACTGAAATTTTTTATATATTACATTTTACATTAACATTCAACCAAAAAGATAAAACCTGATTGCTTTCATTCAGGTTGATACGATGGGCAAGCCAGATAGTTTGAGTAAATCTGAGATTAATTGTTGTTAATCATATTTTTTTCTAATTTTTAAATGTACATTGTTGCGTACAATTACACACTTATATCGAAAGCATTCAATACGATACGATAATATACACTGTATCTTAACTGTCTTATTTTATCTAAATGTATCTTATATTATCTTATTTAAGACCAAAAACATCTGAAGGACAACAAAAACATACAAAACACAGGTGATTTGCATACATACAGACATTAAAATAAATAAATAAATATGTAACTTTGAGAAAACAGATCTTAACAGTGACACCAGTGGCCGTTAAGTAAACTGCAGTCAGCATCCTCTTGCGTCGGGAGTCTGGATGAAGCAGTATTAGCTAACCTAATGTTAGCCAGTTAAACTACAATATCACAATATATTTACCAAGCTATGCTGCAGCCTTAGCTTTGACTTTCGACTTTGTGTTAGACTCAGCAATGTTAGCTGTTGACACCCAGGTATTTCTCACAGTTTTTTGGACCAATGTTAGTTAGTTAGTTGCAGCCCTTGTTTCTTCCTGAAAATCATCTTGAGATCCCCCAGATTGTGAACCACTGCACTAAAAGACTAATCAACTAACAAAGGACCAATTATCTAATAACAGTAGCAGTATGACCCTGACATTATTGTTTTAATATAAACCCCTCGTGTGGGAGCCTCACCCAGTCTCTTGAGCTCCTCCACCAGCGTGTGGTTAAACTCCCTGCTGTTTTTGAGGGTGACGAAGCAGTACAGACACTCGCCCTTCACCTTGTGAGGCCGGCTCACCACTGCGGCCTCTGCCACGGCCGGGTGCTCCATCAGAGCCGCCTCCACCTCCGCTGTGCTCATCAGGTGGCCTAAAAGACACCAAAAGATACAAAATCATGAGTGACAAAACCTAAACTCAGAGATGAATAAACACCAGTTTTCTGGGGGGGAAAGAACACTCTCAAAACAGCAGGTTACAGTGTGTTTAAGATGTTATATCTAAAACTAATTTAAAGTTACTGCTGTAATATTACACAACAGAATATTAATAACTTGGTTTTGAAGAAACAGCTGCGCTATCAGATAGTAACACCTCTAAGTACAGTACCTGACACATTCAGCATGTCGTCTATCCGTCCTGTGATCCAGTAATAGCCATCTTTATCCCGCCTGCAGCCTGATGGAGGAGAAAACAAGTTGCATGACTCCCAAAAGAGTTTTTACAGCATCATTTTTTTTTCTTTGGTGTTTCAATGAGAAATGTATTGGTGTAGGTCTGGTGTTTATTCTTTTGCTTAATCCAGAGTGATGTACAATCGTTGTGGCAGAAAGGTGATTTTTGTGATTCTTATTGCTCAGACAATAGATGTAATTTTTGTGACTTACCATCACCGGTTACATAGAAGCCAGGGAATTTCTTGAAGTAGGTGTTCTCGAAGCGTTCGTGGTTTCTGTACACAGTGCGCATTATTCCAGGCCAGGGCCTCCTGAATACCTGCACATACAAAATAACTGCCATTAATACATTTAATGATAAACTTTATTTATACAGCAACTTTCAAAACAAAGTACAAAGCTTTACTTTTAAAATTTAATAATAATTTAATAATTTTTAAAAACAATTTAGAGCTATAATTAAATCTAATCAGGTAAATTCAGATAGAGACACTGCAACAAAATAACATTCATGAGTTAAATTAGTAGTAAAATCACATCTATAATTAGTTTGTAGGATTTAGTGGCATCTTTAGTGGCATCTAGCGGTATAGTTACAGATTACAACCCCCTCGCCTCACCCTCCCCTTCCAAGTGTGTAGGAGAAACTACGCAAAAAAACACACAAAAGGCTCAGTCTACAGCCAGTGTTTAGTTTGTCAGTTCTGGGCTAATGTAGAAAACATGGCGGTTCAACACGGCTGCCTCCTTAGAAGAGGACCCGCTCTCATTGTAGATAAAAACGGCTCATTGAACGAAAACACAACGATTCTTATTTTCAGGTGATAATATAATAATAAAACATTTCTATGAGTATTAAAGTTAAACTGAATATAATACCATTCATTTTAAAGTGAAAACTGAAAATCCACTAATAAAAGTCTAATGCCAGCAAGTAGGAGAAACAAGAA